ACAGACAAGAGAGGCCAGGCTCAGGTCGGGCGGAAGGGGGGGATGGCAAAAGGGGGGGGGGCTGAGAATCAGCTCACGCAGCTGATTTTCCCGGCGCCTCCCGGCGCCGGGAAGCGCCCATTGTATCGAGGACTGGGCCCGGCGGCGGGGCCGAAACCAGCTGCATGCAGCAGATGTCGTACCCCTCCCCTTTCCCTATCCCCCCCTTCCGTTCGGCCCGACAGGCGGACCAGAAAGCGGCGCCGGCAAGAGGAGGGGGGGGCAGGGGAGCAAGGCGAAGCGACCAAGCGGGCCGCCAACTCCGCGACCGAGGCAGACCCATCATCGCTCCTCGATGCCATCGAGCCCTCGAGCAAATCGGGAACCCGACCACCACCAGCGGCAGCGGCAGAGGCACACCGGAGAGCAGCCGCAAGAAGGACACGCAGGAGAGGGCGCACAGCAGCAGCACCAGCGACGACAGCAGGAGCAGCAGGGCAGCCGCACGAGGGGAACGCCAGAGGGCAGCACACAAAAGCGCAAGCTCAAGAGCGGAACGCTCGAACTTGTCGAAAGGCCTCGCGCACGGCGAGGGCAGCCGTGCCACATCTCGAGCAGACGGACGGGTCCCTCACCTGCGGGCAACCTCGAAGCACCTGGGATCAGCACACGACCCAGGATGTCCTCGGACAGACTGAATCGCCCCGTGGATCTTAGGGTGGCGCTGCATAAACAAGAGAAGGTGGCCCTCAAAGACCTGCTGTGGGGTCGAATCGGCCAGGGGCTGGAAACGGACCTGAAAAGGAGCGTGCGCAAAGCATTCGGCCAGCGTGCGCAGAGCCACATCACGTTTAGTCTCAGGGGGGCTTCCGTCGACGCGATGATGCTGCTGACGCTGCTGATGATAATGAATGGTGATGGTGGTGGTGATGGTGATGATGCTAATGAGGATGGCAGTGCTTGTGGTGATGTTGCTGGTGATGATGATGTTGATGATGATGCTGATGATGATGCTGATGACTATCACGATTATGATGGTGGTCACGATGATGATGGTGATGATGATGGTGATGAAAATGATAATGATATTGATTATGATGATGCTGGCGAGGATGATGATGATAATGATAATGCTAGCGATGATACTGCCTGATAATGGCGAGGTTGATGGTGATAGCGCGTGTGCTGGTGATGATGACGACGACGATGATGAAGACGACGACGATGTCGATGGTGATGATGCTGATGATGATGCTGATGATGATGATGCTGATGATGATGAAGCTGATGATGATGACGACGATGATGCTGAATATGCTTATAAAGTTAATGCCGGTGATACTGGTATGATGATGATGATGATGGTGGTGAGGGTGATGGTGATGATAGTGGGTGATGATGAGTAATGATAACGGTGGTGATGCTGATGATAATGGTGGTGCCGATGGTGATACTAATGATGCGATGGTGATGCTGATGATGATGATGATGATGATGATGATGCTAATGATGATGGTGGTGGTGGTGATGATGGTGATGATGATGGCGATGCTTATGATGATGATGAAGATGAAGAAGAAGGTGATGATGATGATGATAATGACCATGCTGATGATGACGATGATGGTGGTGATGATGGTGATGGTAAAGACGATGACGATGATGACGATGATGATGATGCTGCTGATGATGATGGGAATGATGATGGTGAGGATCATGATGAGGATGTCGATCGGAGGAGGGGGAGGAGGAGGAAGAGGACGAGGAGCAGGAGAAGGAGGTCGAGCGCGCCCAGGCGAGGAGGAATAGGAGGAGGGCGAGGCTGATAAAAGCGAGGGCGACAAGGAAGACGGCGCCGAGGGGAAGGAGAAGCGTGAGGAAGCTGACGCTGCTGGGAGCCCAGGAGCATGCATTCCTCCTGATCGTGCTTCCCCTCTCCTCCTCCTCCTCGCCCAAGAGAGAGAAAGAGAGAGAGAGAGAGGGAGAGACAAAGCCGCCCCGCGCGACGGCTGAGCGAGCAGCTGCGGCGCCGGCGGTCTCTGCCGCCGCCCGCCGCACCACGGCATCCGAGCTGGGGTGGTGGCCCGCCGATGGCTGCCCTGGAGAGGTGGAGGGCGGGCCGGGAATCGGCTGGACGTAAGAGCGACCAAAGTCAAAAAACTCAATCAAAAACCTAAGGACAACCAATGATTTCGGCTTCTTCGGGCCTTCCTGGAGGACATCTTGGGGGCATCTTGGGAGCCTCTTGGGCCTTCTTGGGCAATCTGGGGCCATCCTGGAGGCCATCCTGCCGGCTAGACGTAAGAGTGACCCTGGGTAAGAGTGACCTTTGGTGCGCAGCATTTGGGGGTGCGAGGGAGCCAAACCCAAGGGCGCGGGCCGCTCACATCGCATCGCGCTCGGCGATCGGGGAGAGCCCGATGAGCCCGCACCAAAGGTCACTCCGGGGAAGGGTCACTCTTACGTGTGGTCGAGGGAAGAAGCGAGCATGTGGAAACCACTCGAAAACCACACGAAAACTAATTGGTCCCCAGAACAGACCTCCCGGCACGCCCACCCTGCACACCGCGGCCGCCAGCTCCCCAGGCTCCCGATGATCCCTGGTGGTCCCGCCCCCCCCCCCCCTCGCCCTGCATACCGCGGCCGCCAGATCCCAGGCTCCCGACAATTCCTGGTGGTCCCGCGCCACCCCCCCGCGTTGCATACCGCGGCCGCCAGATCCCCAGGCTCCCGAGAATCCCTGGTGGTCCCGCCCCCCGCGCCGACTCGCCCACTCTGCATACTGCGGCCGCCAGATCCCCACGTTCCCCGATAATCCCTGAGGGTCCCGGCCCCCGCGCCGACTCGCCCACTCTGCATACCGTGGCCGCCAGATCCCCAGGTCCCCCTGACACCACACCACCGAACAGAACAGAACATATCATAGCATAGCATACCATGGCATACTGTATCGTATCATAACACACCATGGCAGAGCAGTGCATACCATAGTATAGCATCACAGCACCGATAAGTCCATGCAATAACAAATCAAGCATGCCAGAACAAATCAACGCAAACCTGAGCATACCAAAAAAGAACATGTCACACCATCACATTACATGACCTATCATACCATAGCCCATAGCACGGCGCAGCATAACAATGCATGGGATGGCAGTCGGCACATACATGTCATAACATACTATGGAATGGCATAGCAGACGACAACCTAACACAACATCACAACACCTATCATTACATTCCCTGACAGTTCTTAACACGACAGATCGCGACACTAATATGATATATGACAGCAAGCCAGAGCATAGCAGAACACCATAAGCTATGACTGAATTGGTCACAGAGTACACCGCGTAACAGCACACCTCACAACACAACATAAGCGCGCCCGTGAGGACTCAGCGCCAACTCTGCCTAACCAACACAAACTACCACCAGCACCACACCCCCGCGCCGACTCGCCCACTCTGCCCGCCGAGCCCCGCGCACATCGTTCCAGTGAGCGCGCGCACCTTCGGGATCAAACGCCGAAGGTTTCGGAGGGGATCGCTAGAAGCAAAAGAAGTGTTGCTGCTGGACGCCCTCTGAGGCGTCCTCTTGGAGGCGTCTCGGGGCGCGTTGGGGACCGCTGGGGCCGCCAGGGAGCGCATCGGGGCCGGCCGGGCCGATGTTCTGTTCTCTTCGGCGCCGAGCAGCTCAGCAAGCGCTGCCACCCGCGCTAGAATAGATAGATGGCATTGGGCTCCGGCATCGCCCCGCACACCTCGCTGAGTAGCACTGGAGCCGCTGCCATTGACCGCCCTCTCGCACGCGCCGATCCCAGCGCTGTAGTTGTCGACGCTGGGTTCCCAGCAGCGCCTGGGCTTACCGCCACTCGCCATTCTCGCAGGCGCTGGCTCCGGCGTTGTAGCCGACTAGGGCTGCCCCGTGGACCACCGTCCACGAATGCCAGTGGTCAGAGTGCACTAGCTGCTGCTGCGCATTGCTTCACGGGTGCGCGTTTTGCTCGATGAGTCGGACGGCGCCCAGAGCTGCGCTAGTAGTATCAACGGCAGCAGATCCAGGAGCATGGACAGTAGCAACAGCAGCAGCTCCAGCAGCAGCAGCAGCAGCAGCAGCAGCAGCAGCAGCAGCAGCAGCAGCAGTGCGGCTCAATCAGCAACGGCAGGCAGCAGCAACAGCAGGAGCTCTTGTGGCGGAGGAGGGCGACGACGGGGAGGAGAAGAAGGAGGAAGACCTGATGACGCTGGGATCCTGCTTCGCCTCCCGAATCTCGCTCAGCAGCAAGGCCCTCTGCCACTGAATGCCCTCATCCCACGCTCTGGTCCCCACGCTGTTGCTGTCCTCGTCGGCTACAGTCGGGGCCCTGAAGAAGGAACCCTTTTCGTTGGGGAGGGGCTCCGCGTTCCTTATGTGTTTCGCAGCTTGCCTGAGGTTTTCCTGATGTTTTCGATCGAAAATCGAAGTTTGATGTATGGAAGAAAAAGGGGCCTCGTTCCTTATTTTGGGTTCCTTAGGTCAAGGCCCCGACTGTACAGCGATGTTACCTGCTCCCCAGGCCCATCCTGCTCGCGCATCCTGGACACACGTCCAAAACCACCAGCAGGGCCCAGGCGAATGTTCTTCTCGCACACCTTTCCGAACACAAGCACTTCCGTGCTTTCCTCCTCCTCCTCCTCCTCCTCCTCCGCCTCACGGGGTGTAGCCGATGATGTCGGCTCTACCTACGCTCCCACACACATCTCTCTGAGCAGCGACGAAGCCTGAAGTCGCTATCTGCTCATCTCGCACGCGCTGGTCCCAGTGTCATAGCTGATCATATTGTCGTCCATCTTCGATGGCACCCATCGTCCTGAACAGCGACGAAGGCTGCTGCGGCGACTTGCCTGTCGCGCACAACGTGGTCCCAGAATTGTAAAGGGATTTGCTCAACATCTGCCTGCGCATTGCAAGAACAAGTGCTTCAGTGAAGCTAGCGACGCTGGACTCCAGCTTCGCATCCCGCGCCGCGGTGAGCCATCAGATCGCCTGCTGTCCTTTCTGGATGCGCGAGGGCTGAAATCGAGCTAGAAAAACAACAGTGAGTCACAGTTCTGGGCCGAACCGGGCCAGCACACCAAAGCGAGCGCAGCGCTGCCAGACCGCGCTGCCGGACCGCCGCCGGGCCCGGGCGATGCCTCCCCCGGGCCCCCCTTTGTGGAGATTCTGGTGAGAGAGGGGAATCTTTGAACTCTGCCAGAACCCTCTAGAGAAACGCTATTAGGGGGAGAAAGAAAAGGAGCCAGGAGCGAGGATAATTAGGGAGGCGGGGGGCGAGGAGAAAGCGGCGTTGGGAGCACTGAGCGAGAAGGGAGGCATGAGAAGAGGCCAGCACAAGCATGTCTCGATGGCCTGGGCGAGCGTGTGGAAGCACATTTGGTCCTCTCCTGGGTCGCTCGTGGGGCTCTCTTGGGTGGCCGGCGCGGCCCCAGAGCTCTCAAAGGGGTCTTCCCCCGGAAGCCTTTTGTAGGCGGTTTCTCGGGGGTGTCTTGGGGGCTGTCGGGGCCCTCTCTGGGGCCCCTTGGGGTCTAATGTGGGCCTCTGGAGGGCTTCCTGGGGCTTCTCGGTGGGGCCTCCTGGCGTTCTCGGGGGTCGTCTTGGGGCGGAGGGTGCAACTTGCCAGTTCCAGTTCACCCTCTTGGGGCCGTATTCGGTCTTCCTTGGGGCCGAAATTTGGCGCCTCTTGGGCCGTCTTGGGGCTCTCTTGGGCTGTCTGGGGGCCCTCTTGGCGGCCTGTTGGGCCGCCTTGGGGTGATGTTGGTGGCCTCTTGGGCCTTCTTGGAGCATCCGAAACCAGAAAAACCGAGAACGTCGAAATGCTTCAAAAGCAAAACGGGAATCAATGATTTGGACCTTGTCGGACTGTTGTCAAGGCCCTCCTGGGCTGTCGTGGGAGCCTCCTGGCCTGTCTTCGGGTACTGTCGGGCCGTCCTGGGGCGCCGTTTGGGTCATTTGGAGCTGTTTGGAAGCAGTCGTGGGCCGTCTTGGGGCCATCCGGGGCTCTTCGGAGCCTTTCTGGACGCCCCCTGAGGCTCTCAGGGTGCGCCCGGGAGCTCCTCACAGTAGAGGTAGTAGCAGCGGTAGTAGCAGTAGTAATGATAATAGCCGTATGGATTATAGTAATTAGTAATAGCAGTAGTAATTCGTAGCAGCAGTAGTAGCAGTAGTAATTAACAGTAGTAGCCGCTTAAGTTAATTATAGTAGTAGCAGTGGTAGAACGACCTCACCGTATGAGAACAGGCCAGCACGCGAGTATCTCGACGGCCTCGGCGCTCGTGTGGCCAAACATCTGGTCTGCTGTGTGGCTCCTGGGGGCTCCCTGGGGTGGCCGGCGCGGCCTCAGAGCTCCCAAAGGGAGCCTTCCTCCGAAGCCTCTTCGAGGCGGGTTTGGGGGTGTCTTGGGCCTCTCGAGTGCCTCTTGGGCCCTCTTGGGGCCCGAGCTGGGCCTCTTGGGGGCCTCCCAGGGCTTCTCGCTCCTCCTCCTCCTCCTCCTCCTCCTCCTCCTCCTCCTCCTCCTCCTCCTCCTCCTCCTCCTCCTCCTCCTCCTCCTCTTTTCGGGGGGGGGAGAAAGAGAGAGAGAGAGAGGAGCAACAGAGAGAGAGAGAGAGATCAAACACACAAAGAAACACGCCTGCGGGGGTCTTCCCGCCGCCGGAGGCGTTGGCAGCCACCGGTGCGGGGGCCTCTCCGCCGGAGGCGTGGGCGGCCGCTGCTGCGGGGGCCTGCCCGCCGGACGCGGCGTCGGCGGCCGCGGGGCAGAGCTGGTGGGGCTCGAGGCCGGGGCCGCCAAAGGCCTGGCCGCGGGAGGCTGCCGTCATCCTGGACGACGACGAGGGCTTGGCGATGCTGCTCCTGCTGGTGGAGGAATGCAGGGCGGGAGGAGAGAGCAGGGGAGGTGGCGAAGAGGGAGGGCGAGGAGGAGGACGAGCAGGACAAGGAAGGGGAGGAGACGCAGGGGGAGGAGGACGGGGACGAGGTCCTAGTCCTCCTCCTCCTGCTCCTCCTCCTCGTCACAAGGACGAGGAGGAGGAGGAGGAGGAGGAGGAGGCTCTCCCTTGGCAGGAAGTGGCTCTCGTCACAAGGGCGAGGAGGAGGGTCTCCCTTGGCAGGAAGTGGCTCTCGCCTCCGATGGCCCGCTGCACCATCCGCCCGATAGGTCGCCGACAAATCTGGCTGGGGACCCGCCGCGGCGTGAGACCGCGAGAAAGCAGCAGCCCGGCTTTGGTCATCAGCTTCCGCCGGCGGGAAAAGCAGGGCTTGCCATCGCTCGGACGTCCACTCCCCGTGCATGGTTCGGCTTCGTGCGCATATTTTCCTCAAGAGGATCCAAGGTGTAAGTCGGGCCTGTCCCCCTACAGGAGGATTTTCGACGAAAAATAAAAAGACCCACAAAAATAAGAAAATAGTCAAAAAATAGTCTGGGGACTATTTTTCGAATACTTGTTAACCCTTTGGGGGCATGTTTTAGGGGGTATTTGTATGTTTTCCTCGAAAATCCCCCTGAAGGGGGACACGCCCGACCTGATCCAAGGTGCTCGTTGATGGCCCTCGCCAAGAACATGCACACGCGCGAGCGATACCAAGAAGGCCGCTCACGCTGCCGCCTGCGCCCAGGAGCTCTTTTGGGCGCCCGAGTTATCCGGGGTAACTCGGGTCCGGGGTAACTCGGGTTCGGATTCCCGAAAAAGGAACCCCAGTTAGCCCTGACCCGAGTTACCCCTGATGATGTGGGGCTCTGGACGCCCGAATTATCCGGGGTAACTCGGGTCCGGGGTAACTCGGGTTCGGAATCCCGAAAAACGATCCCGAGCTAGCCCTGACCCGAGTTACCCCTGATGATTCGGGGCTCTGAGCTGCCGCCTGCGCCCAGGAATTCTTGCTCAGCGCGTCGCGGCGCCGGCCCCTGCGGCACGCTGCGCCCTGCCAGCAGGGGGGTGCGCCGCGCTGCTCCGATGGGGCAGCAGGCTGCGGAAGGCTCGAGGCGCTGATGCGTGGGCTTAGCTGCTGAAGGGGCCCCAGGACACACGAATAAATGCATACAAATGAACCGATTCCCTATATTTTCCAATATTTTCTGGGTTTTTGTCTTCCCCCGACTTCCCATATTTTCCCATATTTTCCTGGGAGTCGACGATCAATTGTGTCTGTGTGTTTCTTTCTCTCCTGAGCTGCCCCGATACGCAACATGCAACACGTAGCGTATTGATACGGAGCTCAACACGCAGACTGAACACGTAGGTCTGACGCGGTACGCTCGCCAAAACGTAGGCCAATACGTGGAGCCAACACGCAACGTGTTGGCACGGACGTGTGGAACACGGCACGTGCTGCGTATCAAAACGGGCGTATGGAGGCAGCTAAGTGCTTGGGGCGCACGTGCTTAGCGCGTCGCACGGACGCGTGGTGGCCAGAACCGCGGGCGCGACACAATCGGCAAACAGTCCAGACCGTACCTCCCCTTGCTTGCGCACCGTGATGGCCCTCGTGCGATGCAGCATCACGGGCCGCACGCCATCCAGAAGCAAGCACCCGCGCGAGCTGAGAGGACGACGTCACAACGCAGTGCGTTCGTCGCGGTGCCTCTTGCGGTGTTCTTGGCGACTTCGGCGGTGGTATTCTCCGATCATCTCGAAGTCACGTTGGGAAGGTACGGGGGTGAGCTACGTGTCGAGGTCTTAATTGAATGGGCTACTGGTGCCCCTCACCACTACCACCACCACTGCCATCGCGGAGCTCTTACTACCAGCCTTTTGGGCTTGACGGAAGCAAAAGCAATCCCATCCCCGAGCTTGCCTCTAGTGGTCTGAAGCCTCCGTGAGTCTCTCCCCTTTCCCCGAGATTGCCTCTCTCCTCTCTCAATCCCTCCCTCCTTCCTCCAGTCGCCGTTAGCCCAGCCCTCTGTTTACCCGAACTTCGCGATCTCTGTCAAATAGTTCGTGCTGGGCCAAATCTCCAGTCTGCCTTCTCCTGTATAAGTTTCAGTGTCCAGTTGCGAGCTCCCGTCTCGGTCGGGATCGCATGTAAGTTGGGCGCCATCTAAGAACGACGAGGAGAAAGGTGTGTGAATAAACATAGGATGATGATGATGCTGATGCTGATGCTGATGCTGATGATGATGATGATGATGATGATGATGATGATGATGATGATGATGATGATGATGATGATACTGATGATGACGAGGAGGAGGAGGAGGGAGCACAGATCAAGCATGAAATTAAGATAATCAGAAGCAAAGGATGAGGACGAAGCAGAGCACGAGAAGGACGAGGGATACGGTCGGCCCGTAACATAGGGACGCGCGATAAGGATGCAAGGCCGTAGGCGCCCATTCCGAAGCTTTTCAAGCGGGGCGCGGTCAGCGAAAGTGGCGAAGGATGGACCGAGGAGGCAAGGATGCACATGTACCCTTGGGAAGGGTTTCAATCCTTACAATGCGGGTTGACTGTAAGGAAGGATACTGGAGGGAGGAGAGAGGATAGCCGAGGGAGGAGGGAACACTACTAGGACGATGCAGAGAGGATGGAGGAGGGACAAGGAAGGATGAACGACCAGGGCGGAGGACCAGGTTGCTCCCCCCCCTCCCACCGCACGCCTCGGTCAGGAGCTCGTGCAAATGGTCGGCGTGAGGCTTCTCAGCCTTCTTCTTGGCCTCGCCGCCTGGCTGAGTCTGTCTCCGGCCAAACCCCAAAACACCACGATGGCTCCCGTCTACCGCCTCGCTCACATCCACCTTGCCCTCGTCGTAGTCGTCGTCATTATCATCATCACCATCATCATCATCATCAGCAGCAGCAGCAGCATCATCCCCATCATCGTCATCCTCACCATCATTATCACATCATCGTCGTCATAACCATCATCATCACCTACAACATCATCATCGTCATCGTGGTCGTCATCGTCATCATCATCAGCAGCATCAACATCACAACCATCACCAAAATCATCATGACCATTAGCAGCAGCGTCATCATCATGATCGTCGTTATCATAATCATCATCCTCATCATCATCAGTGCCATCATTGCCATCAGCATCAACAACTCATATCGTCCTTCTCCTACTCGTCCTCCCCCTCCTCTTACCCATGATTGCCCTGACCTGGAGTTTCAACGAAGGTGGGCGCTCGCGAACCCTGGCGCTGTCTGGGGCGGTGGCGATGGAGCGACGACGTCGGCGGTGCATCGGCGACGCCAGCACGGAGCAAATCAGGCTCCACATCGAGCCGCATCGGCGATGCACTGGCGATCTGCACCGGCGATGCGGAGCGATCTTCCGACCCAATCTACTCGGACCCCATTTGGGTTGCCTAGACCAAGGGCTGAAGTCTGTGTGGTCTCTCATCACCGCTCCTCTCGATAGAGCCTGAGAGCACAGAACCCCGACGTCATCTTTTTGTCATAAGGTCGTCCCCCAGATGTTTCGACCCATTCCTTGGGACTGGCTTTTCTCCCGAGGCGCGCCAAGGGCTGCGCTGGAGGCGTCGACGAGGGGGGGCCAGCGCGGATCCAAGAAATCTGCGCGAAGCGCCAAAAGGTTGTGTGAAGAAGATGATGATGATGATGATGATGATGATGATGATGATGATGAAGAAGAAGAAGAAACTGAGTAAACATAATCTTTTGGCGCTCCGCGCAGATTTCTTAGATCCGAGCTGGACCCCCCTCCCTGGCGCGCGGAGCGCGCCAAGAGCCGCGCCGGAGGCGCCGCCAGGGGGGCCCAGCGCGGATCCAAGAAATCCGCGCGGAGCGCGAAAAGTTAATGTTCATGCCGTTCTTTCTTCGTCGAGGCAAGGGAGGGCCCCGAAAAGGCGGCAGGAAAGCTCACAAGGTGGCGAGAGCAGAGGAGTTGGACGCCCGGAATGAGTACGGAAAAAATAGGCACAATGCCCAACAACAAATGTTGTCCAAAACCTACAGCGGCCGCTGTTGGGCAGGTGGCTTGTTGTCTCCACTAAACGACGTCCGCGGAGGCGCGGGCAGCGAGCCCTGTGCGAAATGAGCAGGAACTGCTGTCGGCTTTTGTGCCCTTCGCGCCGTACCGATTTCGATCGTCCTGGTAGAATTGTGGATGCCACGACAATGGACACTCTAACAGTCTATCATCGATTAAAAAATGTGTTCAAACTGTGGGAAACATGTCCTACACTTGTTCCACATCTGTTCTTTACATGCTGAAAAACATGTCTGAAACATCTCTTAGACATCTGGAAACCACCTGGCAGCACGGTTCCTCCCCACCGATCGTCCTCCACAGCGGTCGACGGGAGGGCCCCGAAGAGTCCGCAGGAAGGCTCACGGGGTGGCATCACAGCAGCAATTCGGCCCCTGACTTTCGCCCTGGGCTCGGTTCAGTGAAGCGATGACTTTCGGGGTCCTTACGTGGAAAAAAACATCACTTCACTAATCTGGGGCCCCGGACGCTGCTGGTTTTCGGCGCTGCTGCCGCTCTTCTCCCCCTTTGGCGTGGCTCCGCCTCCTGGCCTCTTCCGCCGCCCCCTCGCTGTGTTGCGGTCTCGCCGCTCGCGGCGCTGTCGTGGCCGCCTGCTTCCTGCTTCCGCCTCCCGCCGCGCCTGGGCCCTCAGGTCTCGACGCCTCGACCCATCTCTGGGGCCGCCTGCCATCTCGGTCCTCAGTGTGGTGGCTTTCGCTTTCCACTTAACTAATCAGTGGGCCCTGGGGCCCAAAATTAGTGAAGTGATGGTCTTCGGGCCTCGGACGCAGGAAAGCTCACGAGAGATGGCAGGAGCCGGGGAGCGGCCGGGCCGAGGGGGGGGGCCGCCGGGCCGCGCGGGCGGCGGAGGACGCGCCCCCCGCCGGCCAAGGGCCCGAGCTCCGAGAGCTCCCTCCCTCCCTCCCTCCCTCCCCCCCCGGCCAGCGCCGCCCGGGGGTCTGGGCGCCGCAGCCCCTCACCATCATCACCATCATCATCATCATCATCATCATCACCACCACCACCACCACCACCACCATCATCATCATCATCATCATCACCACCACCACCACCATCATCATCATCATCATCATCATCATCATCATCATCATCATCATCATCATCATCATCATCATCATCATCATCATCTCCATCATCATCATCATCATCACCATCACCATCATCATCACCATCATCATCATCATCACCATCATCATCATCATCATCATCATCACCATCATCATCATCATCATCAGCATCATCATCATCCTGCTCCTGCGCCTCCTTCTTCTTATCCTTCTTATCATGGGTATTGTTTGTCTTCTTATTCTCAGTATGACCCGTAGTACATTCGTAGAAGTGTTATTCGTAGTATTATTAGTGTTCTTCTTACTACGATTATTATTATTACTATTATTATTAATATTATTACACGTTCGTGTATGTTATTCGTATGTTTAGTATTCGTCTGGATATTCTTTCTCTAACAAGTGTAAGTGATTCGTGCTCGTCTTCTTCTTCTTCTTCTTCATATTATTGTTCATGTTATCCTCCTCCTTGTTCTTCTTCTTCTTCTTCGCGCCCCTTGGGACTCCGCGGTCTGGCCACAGCGCCCCCACGCCAGGGCCACGCTGGCTGGGGGATCAAAAAAAGCATCGCCGGGTCGGCTCACGTGGGAGCATGGTGCGTTGGGTTCCTGGAGAGTGTTGAGGGCAATCCTCCTGCTCGCCCCTCCTCCTGCTCTGCCTCCCTCCTTTCAGTCTGAAGAGCTTGGGGAGCTGCCGAAGACCTCCGAGAGCCACTCCAGGAACGCGTCCCAGAGAGCATGCGGAGGCCCACCCCGAAGACTCCCGAGAGCCCACCTTCGCCATCGCCATCATCGTCATCGTCACCGTCACCATCATTCTCCTCATCATCATCATCAGCATCATCAGCATCCGCATCAGCATCAGCATCAGCATCAGCATCATCAGCATCAGCATCATCATCATCATCATCATCAGCATCATCATCATCATCAGCGTCATCATCAGCATCATCATCATCATCATCATCATCATCAGCATCATCATCATCATCATCACCATCATCGTCATCATCATCATCACCATCATCATCATCATCATCATCATCATCATCATCATCGTCATCAGCATCATCACTATAGTCAGCAACATCATCACCATAGTCATCAACATTCTCAGCAGCAGCAGTATCATCATCATCATCAGCAGCAACATCATTATCATCATCATCAGCAGCAGCAGAAACAACAGCAGCATCACCAAAGCCATCACCGCTAAAATCACCAGCGCCCCGATAACCATTACCCAGTAAACCAGCTTGCGGCCGATACGCAGGTTGGAGTCAGGAGGTGGAGTGCGCATCAGTTGCAATGGGATACGAGCACCATCAGTATGCCAATCGAGACACCCCTGGGACAACATCAACAAAGACATCTAGACACTCATCGAAAGATCCGACGAGGCAACCGTTTGGACACCCTGGATACAACAGAAAACACATCGGGATATCATCGGGAAACAATCGTTAAACGTTAAACCAATGGGGACACTCGCGGGGCTCCGAAATGAATCGGGACGCCATCGGGACACAATCGAACATCAATAAGGATACCATCGGACACTCTCGAAAAAATCAGGACCCCCTACCGAGGCACAATCGGTCACCATGAAAGAAATGGTGTGGGATCTGCGTAGAACGAGTCCTCGACCCTGGAGCTTACCCTGAAGACAAGATCTTCATCCTCAATCGTGTGTTACGCTCCTGGGAGGCCGAACGCTTCCTCGGGACCCCTTTCCCTGAGGAACCTTTCCCTACATGGCGGACCGGGAGAGGCACCGTCGGGACACCGTCGCAAACCAATCGCAACACCACCAGAAACCAAAACAGATTGGAGGGATGAAAAAACGACCCTACCCTGGGTTACAAGTGCGTGGTCTGTAAACCTCCTGGGAACCCCAAAGCCTGGAGCCGCCAGGACGCGGCACATCACACAGGGTTTACCCTGTCAGCGCACAGGAGTTTCAGTGCACAGCGCCTCGTAAACCAGGGCAGGGGCGTTTTTTTGTGCCCTTGACAGATTGCAGAATGAATTGGGACACCACTGGGACACTATCGGGCCGACCATCGACTGCTGGCCTGGCCGTCCAGCGACGGCCACGGGACTCCCCCGCGCGGCCACCGGCCCCGAGAGCCCTCAAAGAGACGCCAGGGCGGCAGCCGGCCTGCCCGCATGGGCAGCCCAGCGTGCAGGCATGCCCCACGAGGCCCGCGGAGAGCGTGGCCCCGGCAAGCCTCCTCCTCCTCCTCCGCCTCATCCTGCTTCTCGTCCTTCCTCCTCCTCCTCCTCCTCCTCCTCCGCCTCCTCCTCCTCCTCCTCCTCCGCCTCCTCCTCCTCCTCCTCCTCCTCGTCCGCCTCCTCCTCCTCCTCCTGCTGCTCCTCCTCCTCCTCCTCCTCCTCCTCCTCCTCCTCCTCCTCCTCCTCCCCCTCCTCCTGGGCCCCACGAAGGCCACACGGGAGGCCCAACTGCTCGGTGGCCAGACGGCCATCCCCCGGAGCACCCACCGCATTGGGAGCTTTGCGCTCCAGCTCCCCCGTGGGGGGCCCGCCGTGGCCCCCGCGATGCGGGACCCCTGACTGCTCCCTCGTGCCCTCAGCGAGGGCTCCCAACTTCGCGCTTCGCGCTGCGCGAAGCGCGAAGCGCGAATAACTTCGCGCTCTCGCGCCGCCCTCCCAAAGGGAGAATAGGAGGACGAGGAGGAGGGGGAGAAGGAACGAGGACCGCGAAGCGCGAAGCGCGAATAACTTCGCGCCCTCGAGGGAGCCCCTGCCCTCAGCGAGGCAGGAGGGGAGCAACGGGGTGGGCCATCCGAGGTTCATGCTCTCACCGCCCAGCACCGCCACTACTCCTACTGTGGCGGTCCTCCTCCTCCTCCTCCTCCTCCTCCTCCTCCTCCTCCTCCTCCTCCTCCTCCTCCTGCTCCTCCTCCCTCTCCTCCTCCTCCTCCTCCTCCTCCTCCTCCTTCTCCTCCTCCTTCTCCTCCTACTACTCCTCCGCTTCCCCAGGCCCGTACCCCTACGCCCCTCCCATCTTCCTCCTTCGCCTCCACGCAATCCTGGTGTTCCTTGGAGCCCTCCAAGGAGAACCCGACATAGCACAGAACACCCGCCAAGAGGCCTCAAGGGAGGGGCAAGCTCTGAGGACCTGGTTACAGGAACTGCCAGGCGTCCTGCACGCGCTCCCTCCCGCTGGCCCCCCAACCCGTCCTGGGCATCACCTCCCTCCTCGTCAGCCTCCTGCGCCCTACCTTGCTCGGGCCCACGCGTGCAGTCCAGACCAACGCTCGTCCCGTCGACCTTCCGGCGAAAGGGAGCAAGCCTACTGGGCCAGTCGGCGCACCACGGGAACACCGTCAGCAGTCCACCGGGGCACCGCCGAGAGGCCACGGGGGAAGCCCGCCGCCCGGCCAACGCCTCTGCGCCCCCGCCCGCGCGCCGCGCAAGGCACGCACACAAACTACGAGCTCCCAGTCTTGGGTGCAACCCCGCTTCGGAGGAGGTCCGCTTCGGCAGACCCTCTTGGCAATCGCCTTCGGCCATTCCCCTTCGGCAGAGGTCCGCTTCGGCAGAGGCCTCCGCTTCGGCAGAGGTCTCCGCTTCGGCAGAGGGCCGCTTCGGCACTTCCTCGTCGGCAGATCTGCGTCGGCAGACCCGCTCCACAGGAGGCGACACGTCCCTGACCTCCAACCGCTTCCCTGCGCCCACCGCCACCAACCACCGTGAGCACAACGCTCTCCGTCGTCTGGGGAAGGGACGGACACAGGTCAGCACGGGGCTCCGAAGGAGCTGCGGGAATGCCACCAGGGCAACCTCCTCCTCCTCCTCCTCCTCCTTCTCCTCCTCCCTGCACTGCCCTGACCAATCAGCCGTGGGGCTACCACCCGAGGGCCACAGTGAGTCGGGCCAGCACCCGGGCTTGCAGGGAATCGCGCGAAGGGACTCGGCCGACCCGAGCGCTGACCGAACCTCTCGCCATCGCTCGGACGTACATTTTTTGTGTTTTTTTCGGTTTCGTGCAAGGTTTTTTCGCCAAATGGTCAAGGATGTTCCTCGATCGCCCTCGCCGAAGGAAAAATGCACACGTCCGAGCGATGCCAAGACCTTCTCTCCTCTCTGATCCCGATCGCCACCATCGTCGTCATCGTCGGCAGCAACGTCGTCCCGCGGACCTGCTCTGAGGTGCGTCCTGGCCGGAATTTCAGGGCGGATCCAGCCGTGGCGATCCTGAGCACCCTGGAGGCCCAGAAAGGCATGCAAAAGTCAAAGTTCGAACCTCTGTCGGCAGCACCCCCGCGGCGTGACCGACCAGGCCCAGAGGGCCCGATGCACGCCCGCTCCAGGGCTGTTTCCCACACGAAAGACAGTCGCTCAGCGTCGTCATCGTGGCACCGTCGCCATCGTCGCCATCGTCGCCACTGTTGCCCTCGTCGTCATCGCCGCATGTCTACCGATTGACGCCCTCGTCGTCATGGACGGCAGCACCCCCCCGCGGTGTGACCGACTGGGCACAGATCGGCGACTCCAAAGGGTGTGGTTCGCAGTTTGCAAAGAGGAGGAGGAGGAGGAGGAGGAGGAGGAGGAGGAGGGAGGAGGAGGAGGAGGAGGAGGCGGAGGCGGAGGCGGAGGTGGAGGCGGAGGAGGCGGAGGAGGGGGAGGGGGAGGAGGAGGTGGCCCCGATGATTGGCGGCGCGCACAAGGGGGTAGGGGGAGGGAGGGGGGCTTCTCAGAAGGAGGCTGCTTCTCAAACAGGCGCAGGCCTTAGATCTGCAGACAAGGCCCGCGCCTTCTGAGAAGCAGGGGTGCTTCTAAGAAGCCTTCCCCGCTCCCCCAATACCCCCCTCTGCGCGCACGAGCCCCAACGGCGCCGATCGCATACCACACCCCCGCGTCGCCACACCCGCTGGAGTCGCCCAGCACAAGGGGCCCGCGGGCCGCCTGCTCCGCCGTGCATGTAGCTCGACCTCGGCAGCCCCCGGGCTCGCCAGCCGCTCCCGCCCGCCGCACGGCGGGCAAGGGGACCACGAGCGCACTCCCTGGCGTCGCTCGGACGTCCATTTCCCTTGCGCTGTTCGGCTTCGCGCGTTGATTGTCTAGCCAGGTGATCCAAGATTCTCTTCGAGGGTCCTCGCCGAAAAAATGCTCACGTCCGAGCGATGCCAAGACTCTGCTTTCGCTTGTCTCGTCATCTGGGGGCTTTTTCGCTATCTTCGTCCTCGGGGGGCCCTCCCAGGGCCTCGGGACAGTCAGAAAGCGGCTCGGCATGAAAGACCAGCCCCTTGGGAACGGGTCAAGACCTCTGGGCGTCGACGTTATGAACCAATCATGGCGTCGGGCCTGGGAGGCGCGTGCACAGGCGAGCGCGATAGGCGCACTTTCCACCACCACTACCATATGTAAGACGGAGGAGAAGGATGAGGAGGTCCTCCTCCTCCTCCTCCTCCTCCTCCTCCTCCTCCTCC